TAAGTGAAAACTTGTGTGTGTGTGTTGTGTGTGTGTGTGTGTGTGCGTGCGTGCGTGTGCATATTTCATTAAAATATTTAAGTTATATAGGTATTTAAATCTCAATTGTCCAGGAGAAAATTCTTAATCTTTATAGTAAGTGATTGCTATTATCCCAATATATTGGAAACGAGATACTCAACACATCTTAAGGCCATTACATGTAAAAAAGTTTTAGTCGTAAGACGTAAGCAAATCGACCAATCACATTGAGCAGTAATACGAGTCTCATTACTGCTCAATGTGATTGGTCAATTTGCTTACGTCTTATGATTACGGCTAAAACTTTTTTGCGTGTGATGGCCTTTAAGCTCTATAATAGGTCTAGTAAGCTTTAAGCCGTAAGTTATATTGACCAATCGTAGTCAATTATTCTTCACACATTCGTCTGTGATTGGACAATTTCTTACGGCTTAAAGCTTACCACACCTATTGTGGATCCGGTCTTATACAGATCACTCTGTTATACAGAGTCACTATAGGGGTTTCCCCCCGGCATCGAATGGTCGTACATACCGAAATGGAATTATTAGTCGGCGGGATATGCCGCGCGCAATTTCGGAATATCTTTCGACGGCGTCCGAATGGTCCGACGACGAAGTCAGGAATCAGGGAAGGTCGGGCGCAGGAGTCCGGGTTCTATCGGGGAAAGTTTTAACGGCGCTTCATTAAGCAAAATAGTTTCATACGGCGATCAGGCGCGTGCATCGGTATTCGGGGAGTTTGAACACGGGGAGAACGGCGACCAAGAGAGAGAGTGAGAGAATGGTGTTGGCTTGCGTTTGCTAATCCGGCAGCTCGCAGCCCTGAATTGTTTCCGACTGCAGCTACGTGTTTGCCCGCGACAATAATCGCCGCCATTCGATGTGAAACGCCAAAGGAAACACTCGTGCGCGCGACAGCGGCTGCGGGAGGCAAAAAGCGAGAGGCGGATTAATTCCACGCTCCTGGCGCGATTCCGTTCCCGGATATTCCGTCGTTATGATGAGCCGAACGCGCGACTACAGCGATCATTTGTGGTTACAAAATCCGAGTTTCGTCCAAATTATACGAGAAAGTGAGTGGAAATGAGATTTTTCTAAGTATTTCTGTTAAAAGATAAATTTTAAGATATTGTTGTTTGCATAACATTGAAAAGATACAGATTAAATAATCTCAACAATATAATAATGCTACTTTAACTATACTGTAATTCTTCAAAAAGAATATTATCTTGAGTGCATCTTGATTGACTCGATGCTGTGCGTCGTGATAAATGATGCATCAAGTGACACTCTGTCGGATTTTGAGTTATTGGAGAAAGCTGGACATGAACGGAACGTCGAAGGTTTGTGCTCTTTCCATTAGGTTAATGAAAGAGTGTATTCACTGTCAAACCTATCTTGTTTTTGTCATCTTCAGCAGAATATAGTGATAGTTTTGAATGTTTGACAAATGAACGTCAGGCATGATGTGAAGAAACTAAGAATACGTTTGCCAAGTTAGCGTTCATATGCGCATTTTATTTCTATTTATCTTTATCTCCAAGAGTGAAAAACCTATCAATGCATTAGCATAAAATTATTACAATGAATTGAAATAAAATTATAATGTTTTGAAATAAAGTTTGTATTGTTTTTAAGATTGCCGGATAAAAATAACAATTAATTGTCTAACTAATATTTTTTTATAATAAGTAATTCTTATTACAATGTTTGATACAGTTGGTTTTTTTTCACAGCTTTTTGAAGCTGTCTTCCACTTTATTAGACCAACACGTTTCTAAGCAAGAATTTCTTCTAGCTTTTTTGTAACTTTTTTACATATATTTTTGTTTTTCTCTGTCTTATTTTAATCGTTGTGAAGAAGCTTATAGCTTGATGTATTTTCGTACCGCTAGGCGACACGCAATTACCATTCTTTAAAAAGATTTTAAAAAGTTACGTTACGCTTAAGCACAAGGCGCCGCGCGGTCGGGACATTTAACGACCGGCAATCAGGATCAAAAAAAAGGACATCACCATCGTTTCTCGCCTGTTCTACACTTCTAGTCGCCTATTTTTTTAGCGGCTCCTCTCGCTCTTTATAATTCTTCGCGATACATTTTTTCCACTCTTTTCATCTCTCTCGAAAGCCCACCCTACAGCTCGCACCCGTCCTCCTCATTTTCGACGCCCATCCCGTCGTCGTTTGCATAAAGTGAGCTATCCGCGCTTTTAATATACGCAAATGAAGTTACGCGCCGGAACTAATCATATTTGCATGCGGAACAGCAATCTCCTTTGAGCCCTTGTCATACTTATTACTCCAGTTTAGTCGCTAGAGAAAATTTTATGACGTAGAGCGGCGGCTCGTAGAGCGAGGACCATCAGCGATTGATCGCAGTTGCCGGAAGCAAATACAACTTCTCGTCAATTTTCTTGTTTCGGCACATTACCTCGCTTGTTGAAAATTATCGATTAATAATTAATAATTGCGCTGCAATATTATGATGTACAGTCACGATGTGTTTATTTTTACTTAAAGTTAGACGAATTCAATTATAACATTTACTCTCATATACGAAATCTAATAAAATGTAATAGGGAAGGTGGGGTAAGACGGACCCCCTAAGC